CTCTCTCTCTCTCTCTCTCTCTCTCTCTCTCTCTCTCTCTCTCTCTCAACACTGCTCATATATCCCTTAAGGAAATCACCTTTTGAGGAGTTCTTAATATATTAAGACCTCCACTGTATAAAATCCCTGTTGATTCTTTCTTCTGCACTTGTATTTTGATTGGGATAGTCTGATGATTTTTTTGTAGCACTTGGAGCAAAGGGGTTTTGGCATATCACTAAATAAAAGTAGATTCAATCACATGTTAACATCACTATCTTTCTGTAAATATTGAATTTCTCCTATCATCATTTAGCACTGTTGCTTACTATATATCTTAATGCTGGCATTAAGATCATGAGCCCTTTTCTTCCAATAGTGCAGACTTTTTAAAGTGGTACCCCTTTTTAAGTTATTGATGCAATTTTATATTTTTCATAATCTCTATTTAAATGAAAGTTGCATCATCTTTCTTGAACTCATCTCTATTAAAGACTTGCCTTAAGCTTCCAGATTGCTTTTGCCATCATTAATCATATGTATTGTCTTATGTTTCATTTGCTTTCATAATAAACTGTGTAGTGAAAACAATGGCCTACTCCTTTTTGTTTACAACATTTGAACCTCTTGTGTTACTTCATTAGTGATTTTTTTTTAGTAATAGTAAAAAGACCTGACACTTCAGTGTCTTCATTTGTAAAATGATGCGTTTGATATGGGTGATCCTGAAGGAGCCTTCTACTCCCTTATTCTTTGCTGTGTAAAGTTGTTTATTTAAAAGCAACAGTGGCATCTAGTGGTCATTTGGACTGATCACAAAAATGTTCTTTAATCCAAATGTCACAAGACATTCATTCTTAGACCATTATAGATTTAGAGCTGATTCAACAAGTATTTAGTGCCTGCTTTGCATAGAGCACCGTGATAGGTGCTGGGAAGATCGAGTTTTATATGAGAAAAGGACCCTGCTTCCATGAAACGTTTATGTTCTACTAGGGAGAAGAATAAGACACAAATCTAAAGATCTGTAATATACAGTATTTTGGGATAAGTGCAGTAAAGACGAGCCCCCCCCCAAAAAAAGTGTTATGTAAGGTCCGAGGAGGAAAGTTGAAATTGATAGATTCTTGATGAAGGTGTCCTTTGAGAAACCTAATTACCCTGGAAAGAATCATTCAGCAATGCTTTGGTAAGCATTTATTGTGTTCCTTCCATGCTTATGGTCAAAATAATCCTGTCCTCAAGGTATGAGGTATGTGACTTTAAAAATAAATAAAAAATTTGAAAGCTTAGACCCATATAAGTAATGAGACTTAAATCAAATATACCAAAATTTATACATCCAAACAAATGTCTTCCAAATGAGTATCATCCTTGAAAGCATTTCCTCCGTAGTGCTATATACTCATCCAGAAATATTCAAAACATCTGTGAAACTCCTTTGGGAATTGCCCAGAGTCAGATTTTTAGCCACACAAGAAAATCAAAGGATCATAAATTTAGGGCTGGAAGGGACCTTAGGAGTCATCTAGTCTAGCCCCTCTTTGTTTTAAAGAGGAAGAAACTGAGGCTCAGAGTGGCTAAGTGACTTACCTAAAGTCACACAGGTAGTAAATAGAAATAACAAAGGTGATCACATTGTTTTAATCATTTTTTGAGGTTCCCAACATGAAAACCCTCCAGACTGACTGAATGACTTGATCATTTCAAAAAATTAAATCTACCTTTGAAAGGTCAAAAATGTCCCCCCACTGAGGATAGTCATGAGAATGTGATAGACCCAGGAGCTAAATAAAAAAAAAAAATGTTCTAAACAATGAAAACTCAATGGAAATAAGCATATTTGGCTGCTCAGGTGACTCCTTCAACAGCACTCCTTTGAAGGTCATCCTAATTTGTCACTGCTGTCTGTTGCTCTTCCAGTCTACTATTTCAGCCATTACTCTTTTTTAAAGTACTTTGGTATCTTCATCTCCCTACTTTGGACACATGTTAAGGAGTGAGACTATCAAAGCTTTTCTGGCTTTCTGCATAAATACTTAACCAACAAGACTCGCTTTCAAAAAAAAAAACATTACTTTCTTTCAAAAACTCCCAAAACAGGCATCAACATAAAACATTAGAGCTGGAAAGAACTAATCCACCTACACTCATTTTAATAGGAGGAAGTTGGCCAAGAGAAGAAAAGTGACCTCCTCAAGGTCACCACCAAAGTAGTCATAAAGTTTGGACAAGAACCCAGGTTGCCTGAGTGCCAGTCCAGTTCCCTTACTAATAGTGGCTCAAAAACTATAAATACTTCAAAATGCCCTGGTAGAGGTGTCTTCAGAATCACTAGAGGAAAACAGTTTGATGTAATAATAGAAAGGGCACTGAATTGTTTAACCTCTCAAGACCACTAATTAATCAACAGACATTTGCTATGACTTTCTATTTGCCAAGCACTGCTAAGCTACTAAGGATACAAAGAAAAAGCAAGACAATCCCTCCCTTCAAAGAGTTTACATTCTACTGAGAAGAAACAGGTTATCCAAATAATATAAGGTTACCTTAGAGGGGAGAACACTGACAGATGGGAGGACCCCAGAGGGCTCCCCCAGGAGGTGGCTTTTGAGCTGAGCCTTGAAGGAAGCCAAGAAATCTAAAGAGATGGCATTCTATGGAGGACAGCTAGCTTTAGACATGGTGACAAGAGTTGGAGTGTGAGGAACAGCAAACAGGCCAATATATCCAAACCACAGCATTCATGAAGAGAAGTAATATAAAAGAAGAACATAAAGAGGAAGGGGACATGTTGGGAAGAGCTTTAAAGGCCAAAGAAAGGCATATAAAAGGGACTTCTATTTGATCCTGGAAATAATAGGGAGCTACTGGAGCTATTGAGTAGAAAGTTGACATGGTCACACCTCCACTTTAGGAAAATCAGTGGCAGCTATGTGGAAGGTAGATTGGAGTGAGGCGAAACAGAATGGAGATCAGTGAGTAAATTTTTGAAACTGCCCAAGTGAGATGTAATGAGCATTTGACAGCTGATTGGCTATGTGAGGTGAGAATTGAGGGTGATACTAAGGTTGCAAATCTGAGTGAGTGGTAAGATGGTACCCTAGACAATAATGAGGAAGTACAAGAGTGTACAAGGTGGGAAAAATAACAGGCCCTGTACGTTTTAGATGTCAATGGAATATCCAGTTAAAAATGTGTAATATGCAGTAGATGATGTGGGACTGCAACTAAGGAGAGAGACCAAGGCAGGATATATTGATGTGAGAAACATCCTCATCTCGCAGAGATGATGGTTGAACCTGTGGGATCTGATGATAATCATGAGGAGAGAGAGGACAAGGCAGGGATAGGGGATAGGCATGCAACCTAAGTGGGTATAATATGGATGAAGAAATAGCAAGAGACTTGAGAAAGTACCAGGACAGAGAAGAGACTCCTAGAAGAGAAGGTGGTCAACCATCAAATTGAGGGGAGAAAGAAGGACAAAAGCTAGTGATTACGGTTGGAACTAGTGAGGTTTTGTTTGTTTTGTGTCTTTTTTAAGAATAGGAGAGACTTGGACATGCCTGTAGGTAGCAGAGAAAGAACCAATAGGGAGAGATGAAAGATTAGAGAGAATAGGGATAATTCAGACAAAATGCTCAATAAGAAGGGAGGGGATTGGATCAAAGATGCATGTCAAAGACTTGGCCTTGACAGAGAGAAAGGTCACCTTTTCATCAGAGACGAAAGTGAAGGAGGAGATAGTGAGGAATGATGCCAGAGGGATATGAGATGCGGAGAAGCAGGAACTCTTGGTGAAAGACCACTCTTTCTGATATAAGTATGAGGTGAGTTTGAGTGTAGGGACAAAAGGGAAGTGTGGGAGGCTAGAGGGGAGAAGGGAAGTTTTGGAATGGCTGCTGTGGTGAGTGGAATAGAGAATTAGTGAGGAGTAGAAGGATTGCCTAATTGCAGCAAGGGCCCAGTTAAGATTAGATAACAAATTTGTAATGGTCCCTGTCAGCATGATTTCATGAAATTCCTCCAGCTCCTTTCAGCAATACATGAATGAGAACAAAGGAGGCCGATTGATGGTTATGATCCAGGATTGAGAGTTAGCAAGTCATGATTGGCAATAGGACAGGGAGCAAGAGATTTGGGAGAATTAGTGTAAAACTGAATTATTTCATCAAGGAGTCAAGATTGGGAAGGGAAGAGAGGTTAGCCAGGTGATGGCTTGAGAAGGGATAGAGGGGTGGAGAGATTGGAGATTATGGTAGGAGTGGGAAAATGGATTAAGGAATCTTAAGGCATAGGCAGAAATGAAATGAAAGATCATGACCAGATGAAGGAATTTTGGGGTTCTTGAACATGGAAGAACATTTGACGGGTGATGGCAAGATTAAGGAAATCATCATCTGTATGTAACTGAGGAGTTAAGTAAATTAAGGAACTGGGAAGTTAGGATATTTGAAGTCACATCAGTATGTATGTTGAAATCCCCTAGAATGAGGGCAGGAGTTGGAGTGGAGAGGGGAGACTGTAGCAAGCATAGATGCCAGGGTCTGAATTGAATTTGCAATTTGAATAGCAAGAACCTCAAATGAGGGGGAGGGTGAAAATTTTCTATTTAATCATTGAAAGGAGAGATTGATATTGAGATTAGAGTGTTCTTTAGAACACTTAAAATGATCATACACATTAGACCAATAGATAAAATTGGTTCCAAATAAAGCCTATGTTTTTACTAAATACGGCCTGACAACTACTAAATTAAATTGCATTTTTCGTCTCCTTTGATTATAGGATTAGAACTGAAAGGAATTTTAGACATCTACTACAAGCAGCTCATTGTT